TGAATCTGTTCGTCACCATCATTTTCGAAGCCTATGAGCAGGTCAAAGTGAGTCTTGTTAAGATTATGCATCTATTGTTGTGTTCACTCAATGATGCGTTTCTGCGTTTCTATCAGGTCACTATTGAATCCGTTTGTGTCATTCTCCTGTCCAAGTTTAGATTGTCAGTGTTACACGCTTTTCAAAACTGATCCGGTACGGTAGAATGCTATATATTACCAACTCAGTTATATATATATATATTTCATAATAAGTAGTATGTGAATGACTGGACAAAATTTCCCTGGAAGCACACGACCGGTTTTGCGGTTCCTTCCGCTCGTCAGGCATGCGTGTCCGGTAATCTTTTTTCAGTTCATTGATATACTTGTACCCAGGAAGTGTATTTTTGTCACAAGATATATATATATAAACAATTATGTTGATATCAGCGACAGTGCCGCAGTATGTGAACTTTAAACTCTTGGTCAAGATTGACCGGGATGAATCTCGTTGTCGGTGATTCGCTCTGGCCATCTTATCATGGCAATACAAGGAGGACACGGTGGTCGAGGGCCGTTAATCTATTCTCGTTCCCAGCACTCTGGTGGTAGAATAATAATCAGATGGCGCTCACAGTTACATTGCAAACTGTTTGGTTGAATGAATGTTTGTCTGAGTTTGAAGATTTGACGTAGTCTGAATAATTGATCAATCTAATCAACCATTTAAACAACCCAATCCTGCCCGCAGTGAAATCCGACCTGGGTAATCCCACATGTAAGTGAGTCTGCGAAGAATCAAAGATGATAGTATTTCGGATGTGACGGAAATTAGACCAACCCCTTGATGGTTGGAATTCGTGTGGCTGGGATCCTTATTGAAAGTTGGTAGGGCTTCTATTAAGCTCCAGTTAGATGGAATGGATTCATCGTTCCTTTTGCTTTGGAATAAGGATGGCAAATTTCGGTGATATTTGAAGGGCAAGGGAAGTTCATATGGACGATTTGTGGTCTTTCACAAGACGAAGTTCTTGTGAGATGTATTCCTTAGTAAGGCAGCAGACTATTGTAAGAGCTTCCAGTTTACGAGCGGGTGTTGTTTGGGCATCTGCTGGAACGCTTGGAACGCTTGACATCGCTAATTGAAACCGATGACAACGTTGTTTTCCGGGTGATCTGGGTACACCTGGGTAGGTCCGGTCTGTGTAATCTTGAGGCTTAGGCTGCCTCTGTTGATTCGGTAAAACATTGCTGAAGACTCCAAATAGAACGCTTACTTCAGTGTAATAGACCTGCACCAAACTACACTAGTCAGTGCCTGTCTTCCCCGCCCAAACTGAAGTTCTCATGATCATAAAGTGGACCCGACCGCACAGTGATGCAGTACACACATCCTTCTGACTTCTTTCTTTCGTTGCCATTTTGCGTTGATGCTTGATATATATTGTTTCGATTTTCAGGATTTACAGGACACCAATGGTCGAGCTGTAGATACACCATTGTGGCTGTTTGTTCTGTCCAATCGATTACCATGTACTTCACCTCAATACAAAATGGATGACCAACGTCCAGATCGTCACGCGCTACGTCAGCTTGCTTTGGGCTATTTGACGGATCCATCGTCCGTGAGTGTTCCACCACCACCACCACTTTCCGCTCAGGTGGGCCCTAATTTGCCCAATGGACCGACAGTTCGCCCCTATACAGCCGAAATGAATTCGAATCAGATCCTGAACACCATAGATCATCCACCGGTTGTGATTCATCCGGCTAGTTCGAGTCCACCACGAGATGCATATTCAACGGAAGTGAGCAGTCACAGAGATTCGCATTTGTGATTCTATGAAACCAGATTGTT